AGTTGTTTGTAGTCCTCGAGTAAATCATTAGTATTAAGTGAGTGAATTTTTAGTAATTGTGCTTGTATTTCATTTTCTGAATGAGTGATAGTTTGAGGTTTATAGGCTATAGGGTTGGAAGTAGAGTTTGGTTGGAGTAAAATATTAGAGTCAATATGTGGTATTTTGAGTATTGTCTGAATTGATATATTGTAAAATTTGTAGAATTTTTCTGGTAGTAATAGTATATGGTTTAGAAGTAAAGAATCATTTGTGTTAGTATATATGTGGAATTCTGTTTGTTGTTGGTTAATTGAGATTTTAATTAGTAGTAAGTAGAAGGAATTTTGTAAATATTTTAAGAAAGAACCAAGTGTTTCATTTTGTGTTAGTAGGGGTAGATTATTAGTTAGTAAAAAATAATTAAAGCAAGTTATTTCTTTAGTATGGAATGAAGTATTAGAAGCTGAAGAGTGAGAATGTACTTCTGTAGAATCGCTTGCCATATACCTGGTTTTCACAGTTGTGCAAGAGTCCAAAGCCTGTCCTGTACATTGGTTTTGGCTGTTATAAAATTGGTCTTCCATGTATACTAATCAAAGTTAATAAATCATCTTTATACTTATAGGCTAAATTAATGCAAATGAAAAAATAATTTGAAGAATATTTGGTAATTAATTATAAATAAATATTTAGTAATAAGTATTTATAAATAAGTATTTATATCTGTAATTTTAATAAAACTAATTTATGTTAATAAATTATTGTTATACTCATAGACTATTTGAAGAGTATTAGGTAATTAATGATAAAGAAATATTTAGAAATAAGTATTTATAAATTATATTTGTATTTATAATTTTAATAAATTATATTTATATTTACAGACTATTTAAAGAGTATTAGAGGAAAAAGCTATAATAAAAATACATTTAGAAAAAGAACAAGTAAAATAGCTAATTCTTTTAATAAAATAGATTATTTAAAGCATACAACTATTTTTTATAGTAGATATATTTTCTTTTTATGAATTTCTAACAGCAGAGTCAGGCTATCTGATTTGATAATAAGATTTCTTCTCAGCTTATATTACAAAAGGAAAATTAAAGTAATCACTGAATTATAAAATAAATTAGATCCACTATTTAAAATTTCAAAATGGCAATTAATTCATAATAAGATTTTAGATACATTTATAAAGCAACACAAAAAGCTTAATATAATAATTAATAATATTTCTGGAAAATTATTAATTACTACAGATATGTAGGCTAATATTAAAATAGAAAGTTTTATTGCTCTTACAATTTATTTTGTCAATAAAAACTAGAATTTACAATATTTTACTTTAGATATAGTCAAATTTTAAGGATCTCATACAGGTATAGCTATTTGTAATTTTATAATTACTATTTTAGATAAATTTAAATTAAAACAGAAAGTTGCTGTAATTATAACTGATAATAGTAAAAATATAGTTAAAACTTATGATCTAATTAAGGCAAAACTTGTTTCTAGTACTAGTAATAATTTTATACATTATTATTGTATATGTCATATACTTAATTTTGCAGTTGAAAATAGACTGAAAAAAGTTGAATTATTAATTAAAAAAATTCAGCAATTAGTAAAAGCAATATGTAACTTATATTTATATTTGTAAGATTTAAAACAGTTTCATTTAGCAGATCAAAAAAAATTTCTTTACCCAATTCTTGATATAAAAACTCATTAGAATTCTACTTTCTATTTGTTAAAGTGTATGCTAGTTCTTAAAAAATATCTAGAGATATTTATTATATGTCACTCTTTATTAAAAGATTTATATCTAACTAAAGATAAATAGGTTTATGTTGAAAATTTAGTAAAATTATTAAATCAATTTAATATTATAACAAAAGAATTATTTGCACAAATTTATCCTACAATTGCTTATATATGTATAATTTTAATTAATATTTTAATGATTTAGAATCTTATAATACTAATAATAATTTATTGAAAGAAGTTTCTATAGCTAGTTATAATAAATTACAAAGTTATTAGCAATACATTAATAAAATATCACATGTAGCTATATGTTTAGATCCACGATATAAAAAGATTTGTTTTTTAGAAAAAACAATTGAAGAAATTTTTGCTCTAATACAATGCTAACTTCTAATGAAAATACAAATATCATACTAACTAAAAAAGTATCAATTTTTGTAATATGATTAACATAGCATTTTTTTAACCAATAACAAATAAATGAAGTACAACATTTTTAGGATCTACTACTTTATAATGATAATATTGAACTACTAATATGATGAAAAACACACCAGAATAAATTTCTATTATTATCTGGTTTTGCAAGAAACTATTTATCAATTCAAACAAGTTCTGTTCCTTGTAAACAATTATTTTCAATTACAGGTGAAGTTATTAGCAAAACAAAAAATCAATTAACAAGTAAAAGTGTACATGCATATCTTTGTCTAAAGAGCTAGTTAGATCAAAAAATTCTTAGATCTAAAAGTATATAATTATTTTTTTCACTATTAAGGTTAGCTTGTAATTTAGTAAAGCCTTATATAATTAATACTATATATATTAAATTAGACAAACAAAAAAAAAGATATTAAATAATTTGTTGTCTTTATATTATATGTAAACATATTGAAATAACATTTTTTTTCTTAAATATTTTTATTTTTTAAATACTGTAAAGTTAAAGATTATTTTATCAAGCATATATTTTGGAATTTTAAAACACTTACGTATACGTAATACATCGCATTACAACTTAAATAATATAATGTTTTATTTATGTACAGTATAAATACTGGAATACTACGTAGCTCAAATCATATGTTTGCCTAATACTGTAATAGTAGTTGATAGAATAGCTAACTAATATCTGATACATACTAAATTTAAGAGGTAAGTATTACATAATACTATAACAATAGTTATCAGCTTAAAGTCGACTTTAGTTGACTCAGAAGTAAAAGTTGATGCAAGTTGAGTCAAAGTCAGTCGAGTCGAGTTGTTAGCATCCCTTGTTATACCACTTGATTAAAAAATTACTAAATTACTAAAAATATATTACTATGTACATATAATAACTTCTTTTTTTATACATATCTGATACGTATTGTACGTACATAGTAATATATTTTTAGTAATTTAGTAATTTTTTAATCAAGTAATGTAACTATCTAATACAAATTTAGAAAATTGACGATTTCCTCTATGAAAAAATATTAACAATTAGCGATTATCAAATAATCAGACCAGTAAAAAATCCGACTAAAGAAAAAACAAAAATAAGAAGATCTCGAAATCAGGTATGTAAATATATTATTGACTATTTATTTTTCTTATTAACTCATATAAAACTCGTATAATTTATAAATGTATATAGAAATTTTAAAAATATATAAGTTTGCTCTTCTCAATTATGTTTCGTTTTGTTTCATTTCATTTCTTCTCGCTTGATATAGCTACATATCGGTTAGAAATTGTGAAACTAAACATTACCTAATATATCATAAATCACAAAAGTTCGATACTAATAATTTCTAAAAAGTCAAATACATCGTTACACCATATCTAGACAATCATTTTAGCTAAATTTTTATATAATTGAAAGCCCGAATCAGAAAGATAAATCAATAATATATTGTACTTAAAAAACAAGAGTGTCCTTTTCCCTTGGTAACATTCAAATATAATCTGTAATAATCTGTTTTCTATATATATGAGAAGTCTTTGTGTGCAGCGAGAAAACTGATGCATAAAAATAACGTACGACTTATTATCGCTATCTGTTATAGTTACACTTAAGATTAAATTATCGTTATCTAATCGTTATCAATTTAACCATCACAACTCCTATTTAAAAAAAAAAAAAAAAAAAACCATTACTATACAGTAAACTCTTCCTTCTATAACGAACTATGTGGCACTTAAAAAAATATATATATATATTTATATTTTATATTTTTTTTAGATCCTTCAGAATCTCCCGTTCGATAAAAAGTTGATTGTATATAAACCAAAAATTATTATTATTTTTTTTTTATAACAGATAAGAAGCTATCGCACTTTCTATGCGTAAAATTATATCCTGAGCTCGTTACCAAACGTAAACTAAATAATTTTTTTTTTTAGAATCTTTTTTTTAGCAATGAAATGTACAATAGCATTAAAACAGGATAACAAAATAATTATTTTAAGAATGGTATGTAACGATGCAAATTTAATAATTTAATATAAAGATTGTTTTTAGTCAACAGATTAAAACCCAAAATCCAATACTATAATATTACAACAAATTGACTAACTTGTTTTTTTTAAAAAATTATCAAAAAGTTCAAAAAGTGTGAATTAAAATAATGAAATATAATATATAATTTTGGTTATTTAACAAAAAACCCTTTTAAAACCAAACACAACTTTTACCGAACCTTCTTCCCATAAATCCTAGAACTATTCCAATAAGTCTGAAATAGATTAACCTCTTCTTCAAATTTACTAACCATATCTTTATATTTACGTTCGCTAACACCCAAAATAGGAATTAAATTAAATTTCATTTGATTTAAAAACATTGTCCAATTTGTTAAAGCGATTTCACCAATACTTTTTTTACCCCAACTAAAATCATTAAAATCATCATCCCAACTACCAATTGGATTTAATTGTTGTTCTACCGTTATAGAGGTTAAGTTTTTGATAGAGCGGAGGTGTGATTCAATTTGTGGTACCATGAGAGGGTTTCTTCCCATTACATTATAGTAAGATTTAACTGTATTAAATTAATTAATTACATTAAGTAAAAATTAA